CTTGCTCGGGATCAGTGTGTGTGAGCATCGAACATTGTTGCGCATATTGGCAAAGTTTTGTAATTTGCCGCCATCGCTTTACATGTTGCTCACAAAACAGCTGATTGTTGCGCTTTTTCACTCGGCGTGCGAGCGAGATAGCAGCTGCGAACTGCACTCAATGAGCGCAGTGCGTGTGTGTGTGTGTGTGTGTGTGGGTTGCCGCGAGTGCTAAGGAAAGGATGGGCGTCTTCATCGAAAACGCAAAGAAAAACATCAAGTTATGAAATGTCCATAATATTGTGGACACAAACACACACACACACACACACGCACGCATACATGTAAATCATGATGGTCGCTCAAAGAGCGCTCTCAACCGCCCGATGATGAGGTACACCCCACGGGGGTTGGGATTATGTCGCACAGAGCGCGCGCCTCGGCAATTCAGCTTCGTGTCTTCTATATATTTTTTTGTTTAACGACGCCAACTGCGCACGTCGCCTTCGTCTTCGCCTTCGTCGTCGTCGTCGTTCTTCTTGAGCTCTTGAGCGATTTAACGGCAATCGACTTGACAGTTGTAACTCATTGTCTGCCACTGTCTCCGCTGCCGCTGCCGCTGCCGCTGTCGCTGTCGCTATAGCTGACTCTTGCTTGACCCAGCCCGCCCACACTGCCCACGACACACACACACACGCACACATGAGTGCATATGCGCATGCATGGATGTATATTCACGCACAGTGGGGCGAAATGGCAAATCGTATGCTTTTGCTGATTTATTCTCGAAGGGTTTAATTTAATTTTTCTTTTCTTTTTGCTCTTCATTTCATTTCATTTCATTTGTATTTGGTTTTTGGGCACTAAAAATAATTTTCTACTTCACGCGTGTAAGGGGCTAAACATCATTAGACATTAAGGCTAGTGTGTTGAAAGTGAACAAAACAGCTCAGCATGTGTGCAGAGACGGTCGATGTCGATGTCTACGTCTATGTTGATGTCGATGGCTATGTCTATGTCTATGTCTATGTCTATGGCTATGTCTATGTCGATCCGCAGTCAGTCTGTCTATATATAAACGCAGCACAAGACAAGACAAGACAACATGAAAACGAATAAAATACGAGTACAAAATTCAAGATGAGATGTACAGATACATACACAGATTCTACATATGTATGTGTGTATGTACCACATACATATATACGCACATAGAGTATATCATACTAGGCAACATCAGGAAAAGTATAGCCAAAAAAGACTTTCGCATTTCAATGAACGCGATTCATTCATTTCTATTTACACATTTCTTGTAACGTATTTACCAAATATATATGTATGTATGTGTGTGTATATACATATATATTTGTATGTGCGTGTAAGCGATTTACGTACATATTTGACCTTACATTATAATTTATTTGGCAGTGAATAATTTTGGGTCTAGCAATTTAAATCCAAATTTTGGAAAAAAAAAAACATATTATTGTATGTTTTTGCGCAGATCAGAGAGTTATCCCTCTCTCTCTCTCTCTCTCTCTCGGGAAAGAGAGTAAGGCAAGGAGAGAGAATGTGGAAGAGCAATAGGGAGCTAGAGAGATAGAGATGTAGAGATACAGATATAGAGCGAAAATTATGCAGAAATAGAGAAGGCAAGAGCCACAGAGTGAGAGAGAGAGACGGAGAGGCAGATGGATAGAGAGAGATAAATAAATAGAGAAAGATATACGACGAGAGAGGGAAAGAGACACAGACTGAAAGTGAGAGAGAGACAGAAAATGTGTAGATGATGAGAGAGAATGCGAGACGGAGAGAGAGGAAAGTGACATATAGAGAGACAAAAGACACACAGAGAGAGAGAGATAAAGAAAGAACTCTTATACATATGTATGTGAATCCTTTAACCTATTATTAGACTCTTCCTTGAAATTAGACGATTTTTTTGGATTTCTTGAACAGTTCGTGTGAAATTCGTATATGTATATCTATTTCCTCTTCTTCTTCTTCTTATATACTCGTAAATACATTCACTTTCATAAAGAGCTTTGGGACGCGCCCTTACAGCGCGTGGCAAATCGAAAAATCTTGAATTTTGAATATTTTATTAATTAATAGCTGGCACCTCCAAATCAGGGAAGTAGTTTGACGTTGATTTAAATATACATCAATAAGAACTTTATAAGAACTTTATAACTAAAATGTATTAAAATTCAAAAAATCAAGACTTTGGATGAAAACAATATATAAAACCTAAAACATATTCGCTTTGCAATAACCTAGTTTAGCAGTTGATTCTACAAATAGATCTATTGTCTGAAAAGCGTAAAAATCATGATTGGATTGGATGATTCGTTATTAGTCCATGGATATAGAATGGATTAATTCAGGGGAACAGAGATTACTCTGATGGATGAAGATTTTGTGAAATACAGTTATTTATTTGTTTTTCTTAATATGCGGATCTAGTATTATTCTCAATTTCAGACAGCTTTGCAAACTGAATCTAAAGTTTTAAGTGTAAAATGGGCAAACGTACGTCTAACAATAAATGTAAATATATATGTATATATGTATATCTGTGTATGTTTATATATGTACATATGTATGTAGTTAATTGTAGCTGTTGTGTGTTGGGGCAAAAATGTTTTACATTAAATGAGCTAAATGCAGGCACTGTGCACTGATATTTTCCTATGCACTTTGGAATGCTTCATATGACTTTTTGTTATTTTCTTTTCATTTTGTTTTTTTTTTTTTTTGCAACCTATTGCAAATAAGTAGATAAATGGGGCATATGGGCTATAAGCAAGTGTATGTAACGGGCAGAGCCTAGGGATGCTAGGCTTTAAACTAGAGAAGCTTTAAATATACATATATGCATGTATATAATAATATAATAATTATAATTATAATATATATTGATATTTTGACTTGGTTTTCAAGTTTCCATAGAGCATAATTTGAATCTTATGAAAGATGTCTCACTTTGGAATTTCTAGGCATTTTCTGATTAGCGATAAATAATGATATATCGATTCTTAGATTCTAATGTAGCATAACTGGAATCAATTATGAAATTTGTACTTGACAAATTTCTTATATACATACCTCCCGAAGGAGATAAGAAATATAGTACATTTTCTAGTATAGAATACTTGAATATCTGCTCGATTATTGTTAGGAATAGGTAGATGATTTAGTAGATTTGATAGTTTTTGATTTGGGATGCATTCCCGATTCTCTACAAAAGTTTGAACTCCCTTGCTTGGTGCAGGGCATCTTCTAGTCGAGCAAACCCTTTGAGAGTACACTTACTTGTGATTGTTGTTGGTTTTTTTTTTTCGCTGGCTGGAAATAGCAACTGCAACAGTTGGAAATTGAGTTGGTTGAGTTCCTTAGGCAAGCATATACGTGTTTGTACGTTAGCTTCCAGTGTTTTTTTTTGTTTTGTTGAAATTTTTTAATTTTATTACCTATTCAAAGTATTTACTTGCGTGTGTGAGTGTGTTGGTATTGCTGTTGGTGTGTGTGTGAAATTGCTTTCTTTGTTAGTTAGTTGGCTTATATTAGGCCATCTAAAGAGCACTTTGAAAAACACTTGGAATTTTTCATTGCCAATTACAACAGGCCAACCAAATGCAAAATGCGAAAAGAAACAAACGTAAAAAAACACACACACACACACACAGGAGAATGCATTCCGCGCAGTAACAGACCCTGGAGGTGAGCCCCCTCTCCCCATCCACTTCCTCCGCAGAAATCCCAGGAATCAGTCGGAGGCCCCTGCCCATCCCTCTGTGAAAACAAACTGCAAACATTTGCCGTCGCTCAACCCCAAACGTTCGTACGACTTGGCCCAAAGTGCACAGAAAAACAAAAAAGCAAAGAAAATACAACAACAAATAAATACCAAAACGAAACGTTAAGAATTTTACATTCAAGATACTTTTATCAGCTGCTGCTGCTGCTTCTGCTTCTGCTTCTGCTTCTGCCTCTGCCGCTTCTGCTGCCTCTTCCATGACTGCTCAGCCTGCATTCCCGGCTACAAGCCAACCTGTTACAACATGCAATCGACAGGCCTCAAACAAGGCGGAAAAATTAACGCAGCCAGCAAATGCAATTGCAACTGCAACTGCAACTGCAATTGCAATTGCTATTGTGAATGTGAATGTGAATGGGTGAATGAGTGAATGTATCCAAGCGTAGCATGAATATATTCCTTCAACTTTTGGCCATTTGCACTAGAGAAACAAATTTGCATAAACAAAAACAAAAGCACTTAGGCAAAAATATATACATACATATGTATGTATATTAATACTGTTTTCATGTTCAATTATTTTATTAATTGATTTAATTAAGGAAAAATTAAACACACACACATGTACATTCATATGTACACAAATATTTATAACTAAAACTATTTTATTTATTTTATTTTTTTTAATTTGTTCAGTGCCAAATTTTAATTCTGCTTAAAATCTTTTAAAATTGTTTTTTTTTTCACATTATTATTTAAATAATTTTCTTTTTCATTTGATAAGCTGCTGAATAAAAGTTACTTATAATATTTTATTTTGTATGTTTATATACAGTAGAGTTCGGCTATATCAACCCGCTTATAAAGGTCTAAGGGGGATTACATTACTTTAATTTTGTATTTAATTATTTAATTTTTTTCAAATTATTATTTGACCGTTTTGTTGTTGTTTTTTGTTTTTGTTTTTGGTAAAATGGTTTTTAGTTAATTTAATGCTTTTTTTTATAATTATTTTTATTTTTCCCCTTTTGAAACTTTAGCCTTTTCAACTTGTTTGTATTTGTTATTAAATAAATTTTAGATGATTATATTTTTTAACAAAATTTTATATAATTCCAACAAAATAAAAGAAAATTGTTATAGACTTGCAAAAATGTCTTATATCAGGCTTACAATTCCAATTCCATACAATTTCCATACATAAACAAATGAATTTTATGCATTTTGAAAGCTTTGCTTGGCGCGCAATCTATCGAAAACAATATCAAGCTGAACTATCTGAATCGAGCTGTTATCGATATTTGGCGCATACTTTCACACGTTGCCAACGCGCATCTCTAATGCATTTGTGTATGCAATAGAAACGTTCGTAGGCTAAGTAAAAAGAGTATTTATAATAGATTACATTACATTATCGACATGGAAAACTTGATTTTACGGCGAGGGACGAGTGCTAGCAGTAACTGTAAGCATTGGCAATGAATTGTCAACGATTTGGATCAAATCGAACATATGCTCGAGCGCCTTTTCATATGATACACATATTTGTTTGTTTTCTCTCTCTCTCCCTCCCCGTCTTGCTCTATCTCGCTCGCTCTCTCTTCATGGTCATTTGTGTGTATATTGTATATATATTATACAAATGTATACATATATATAATATGTGTATAGTCAATAATATGACCGATGAGCAGCTGCAGGAATGGCACACAGCGGTTCTAAGCGAGGCTCAGCGTGAGAATTACGTGAATCACAATCTGGAAATTGTGCGTCATTATCGCACCGAGGCGATCTCTCGAGCGCCCGCCTTTGACATCGAGCGCAATGCCATAGACGCTGCCATTGCGCGCCATGGTCTGTATGCGTCCAATGCTAGCGCCAGCGAGAGCAGCGCCTGTCCAGAGCCTGTGGCTGGAGCACAAGAGGAAGCGCAGCCGCCACCCCTGCGCCGTCCACGCATGGAGCAGCCAGAGCAGCAGCAGAAGTCGGAGCAGCAGCAGAAGGCGGAGCAGCAGCAGCAGCAGCAGGCTAGCAATAGCAGCTCGGCTTCAGCTCAAGCTGGCAGCTATGGCCACTATGTGGCGCTGGCTCACATATTCTCTGATACATTCGCTGGAGGCGGCAGCGGAGCAACGGGCGCAGCCAACAGCAACGCCAGTGGCAGTGCCAATGGCAGCACCAACAACAACAACAACAACAATGAGCCCAGTGATGCCGAAATAAATGATATAGCGATAACCAAGACCATTGATAGCCTAGGCCTGCGTCGCACCTAATGAGGCGAAAGTACACTTAATTATATATTTAAGTATCATAGATGTATTTATATAGGTATATATATACATATATATATACATATTGAAACAAATTGTTAAACGAGATCATAATGTGCAAGAATTGTTTAGATCGTCTAATGTATATTGTATTTATTTATTTGTAGCGTTATCCATCAAACAATTTCTGAATCGAAAACGAAGAACGTAGCTGCTATTTTATATATATATTTATATATACATAAATATATATATATAATATAATATAATGTAAATAATATCAGTTGAATTTTGTATATAGTGCATTTAACTTATAGTTGTTTAGCATTTAAGCGTAGAGTGTACTTAATTAATCGCAATTTATGTATGCTAGTGTACATATGTATACAAATATATATAAAATAAATATATATATTTGTATATATATAAAATATCTCATCTGCGTTAGAACAAATTATATAAGCAAAATACAAAAAAACAAAAAAAAAATGACAACAATGTCGTTTTCTATAGATAAAACAGTTTAACGTACTAACAATAATAACAATCATAGCAAAACTAGATAGTTTCTCTAGAAACGTTTTTAATTTACAACTTAAGAAAAGGAACAAATGTTATTTGATATATACATATATATGTATAGTATGGCTCACATATATAGCTACAATCGTGTGCTTTTTGAGTCTCAGATGGGGATCTTAAGATGGGGATGTCGGCGCCGCTAACTACAAAGCTGCATAGCTTGACTGCTTGCGGGGGGGAATGTGGACACAGTTGTGTCCCGCAGGGAATGGACAATATATGTATACATATATATGTGTTATATTCTCTAATGTACCATTCACACACACACACACTTATATACATATATATGTATATATGTATATATATTTAGACATGGGAGCGCAGCGCCGATAGCCACAATATGCATATCCATGTATATATCTATATACATATATACATATACATAAGTAAGCATGTTTTGATGTTATCTATATAGTTTGCTCATTGACAAGATTTCTTTAGTTTGTATTTGAGTTATTTACGCTGCTGTTGCTACTGTTGCTGGCGCTGATGATGCTGATGGAGGTGTCCTCATTGGTATTGCTAGCATCATTGACATTCTCATTATCATTGCCCTCATTATTATCCGCATCCTCGTCAGCCACATTAGCATCCTCATTGGTGTTATTATTAGCGGCAATACGCTGAGCATTACTATCACCTTGGGAATCCTCTGCAGCAACAACGGCGCTCGCCTCGATGGCTCGAAGAGTTTCGTTGCGGCTACGCCTACTATCGACGCCCAGTCCACGGGTGCTCGATGCATGGCGAATCCGATGATATTGACGCAAGCCGGCCAAAATGCGTATCATGACCTGGGCAGGTACCGTTATGGTGTCGCGTGTCTCCACCAGCATGATTTCATTGCTCTTGATTAACTGTAAACGTATAGAGCATTAGTTAATCACAATCTCCCACTGTCTCTCTCTCGTTCTCTCTTACTGCTGTTGTTTCGGCCTCGTCAAATGTTGAAATCGCTCCAATTGGCGCCCACATCTTGACGTTGTAATCAATGCCCGAGCTGAGCAAATAGGGCAGAGTCGGATGCGGCTGGACACGATTCACAACACGATGATCGGCCAGCAATGTCTTGACCACCTTCCCAGTGTGACGCTGCCAGATGAATATGTGGCCACAATCCGAACCAGACATGATGTAATCGTCGCCCCAGAAGCAAGCGCCCTTTACCATGGTGCGCGAATTGCGATGGCCACTAAACGACATCTTGATGTAGTCAAACTTATTCAGCTGACGCTCTTTACCCTCCTCGGCAGCCTCCATAACAGCATCACGCTTCTCAACGGCTGCGAACGAAAGGGGGAAATACATGTGCATATATGTATAAGGACTAGACGGAGTGGTCTAGTCGGGCGTGGTCGACTAGCAAATAACTGAACTCTGCGCAGAGCTGGTGCGTCCCTCATTCTACGCTGCTTTTAAATAGATGTACATATGTATATATACATAGATAATAAGAAATACATGACACTCGCTTTGGTTGGACTACATAGGCTTTACATGGGCTTTACTGTGTATGGTAAAAAAAATCTGTTGACATTGCCTGCAGAAAGGCTTAATTGAATTGCTGAGAATCGCATAGAAAGCCATAAATTCTTGCTACTTATAACATTTGATTTTTTAAAAAATATATTTAAATATTTTTATATTTTTTTTTATATACCTATATACATATATATATATATTTACCTACTTATTAAAATTATTTTTTTTTTAGCTAAAGGTGACTTGATTAGAACAATTTTAGCTGGACTCTATGTACATACATATAAATACTGATATGAATATGTTCTATGTTCGAATAAACTAGCTAAATAATATATTTTAAAAACATATTGTATAATTAGCCAAAAACTGTGACTTTCTATGCGATTCTCAGCAATTCAAATGAGCATTTTGTAATAATTATAATAATTAGCAAAACATTGTGCCTTCCTCTGCGATTCTCAGCAATTCAATTAAGCTTTTCAGCTGGCTATCTTAAATGATTTTATATATTCGAACTATCTTAGACAATTTCTATTCATGTTTCTTAGTGCACTCGAGTACTACTATAGCTATCTCTCGTTCTATACTATTTGTTCAGCTACAACTACTCTAATTCATTGCATCTACCTGTATGACAATATGTGAGGCTAAGGTAACAAGCAAACATATAGGTAGATAGATAAAGATATGGTAGATATACATTTATGGTAATTTTGATCTGGCTTATACAATATGTATATCATTGATTGACGCACTATGCCATAGATAAAATGATATTGATATGACTATCTATATAAATATTACAATAATGGATTTTAATCATTTATGGATAAGTGCTTAAGCATATTCTGGATACTCTTAGCCAGGTTCTGGGCACTGATTGGGCACTTACCATCGATAGCTGAGGCGTTGTTATTGGCGGCCATTGCTGCCTGAGTGATCTCATTGGCTGCCACGAGTCGCAGGCTGTTGGTGCGACTTGTTGCCGACTCGCTCTGGTTGTCCAGTGTGCGCAAGACGGCATCCTGCCAGGACATGTGATGTGAGCGCGAACTGGAGCTACTGCTCCGGCTGGCTGGATTGATGGCGTGTATTTGATTTGTTTGAGAGTTGAGCATGCGAATGATTTCATCGCTCAGACGACGGAGCACACTGGGCACCAGGGGTGGACGTGCCTGGCCCACATTCAAACGATTCGGATCCTGATCAATATTGGCCATGGAATTTGGTCCCGTATCGGACCAATCGCCCCGGAAACGCAATCGCGGCATTTGCGGCTCTGGATCATTGTCGCGCCGTAATTTCGGTGTATAGCAGCCACTGCGTAACAAATCGGCATCATTATAGCCCGGATGATTCAAATCGAATAGATAGATCTGTTCCATTGAGTAGCTGACAAGCAGCTCCGATTCGTCGGCGCTATACTTGACACAGGTGGGACGATAGTGGCGACGTGTGTATTTCATGGGTATGGGATAGGCCTTCAGCGGCCAGGTGATGCGATCGCGATCCGAGCCAGCCGACAGCATGCGGCGATCATAGAGCCGCACAATCGAGTCCGAGCAACCGATGACCAGCTTATAGTGGCTTATCGGTGCCACATCCATGGCCGTAATGGCACACGGTGCGGTTATATAGATATGCTTATCGCACACGGACTCGGCACAGCGGCTGCTCACACGCAAATCGATGCAACGCACGGTGCCGTCTTCGCCACAGCTGAGAAAGACCCGAGGAGTGTCCGGTATGGGCAGGACATCGTATGTGCTCCCAAAGGCGTGACAGTCAAAGAAGCCGGCCTGCCGACCCGACTCGCCGATGTTCACCTCCTCGGCAGTGCGGCCGGGTCCGTAGGGTGCCAGAAATTCAGTGTGCTGAACAATGCCCTCGCCGGAGCACGACACGATGGCCTGGTCATTGCTGAAGGGCATGAAGCGTGCACTGAATATATGACGCTTGTGCTGTGTCTTGGTCCTGGCCACCACACGTCCGCGCTTGGCCTCGGTCACCACCAAATAGTTATCATCCGATCCGGATACGAACAATGTGCCGCTCTCATTCCAATTAACCGTGTTCACACAGCCGCTGTGCACGTTCAGCGTTTTCATCAGGCTCAAGCGCTGCACAAAGTCCAGCGAATCTGCAAATTGGTCAAATAACGAGATTAATATTATTGGGTATATATATGGATAGATAATCCGAGTCGATTATCTGATAAGTCTCTCTCTATCTCTCTCGCTCTGTCGCTTTCAACTCACTCTTGCAGCTGGCCTGCAGATTCGATTGCGCCCGGTGGCCATAGTACGGGAAATTGTAGATGCATTCGTTGACGCTGCGTCGCTCTCGTCTGGCGGTCATCTTCGGAGGCTTTACTATATGTAATGTATGTGCATGCATAAGTATAAATATATATACACATATATACAGATGTATACGTATACTTGTGCATACATATGAAGAAGATTGAGAGGTTTGCTTTATATTATTAGAAATTTGCCAAATATGACGGCCCCGTTGTAGATATGAGAACAAGGAACCAAACTACGTATACTATATAAAACAAAACAACCAATAAAAATAAAAATCTGTGGCGAATACTTCTATACACTTCTGGAAAAAAAATTATTTTGCAGGATTTTGTAAATAAATTTTATAATTTAAATTTACTTTTTGAAATTTTTGTTTTGTTTTCTCTTTTGTAAATTTTTTTTTCGTTATTTACTAAACCGTTATCAACGAAAGTGCTAATAAACGATTTAACTATTTTGTTTTTATTTTCCACATTTTTTGTTGCTACATTTTATTATTTAAATTAAAGAAATCCTATTCGACTTTATTTGCTCACAATTTCGCTGTTTTATCATAAAATTATTTTTTATCAGTGAATGCACAACTCTGTTAACAGTGGCTCTCAAACGGTGCATTTGCAAGAAGCAACAAGAATTTATTGCGCTTGCATTTCTCGTGTGTATGCGTGGGGGTTTGCGTGTGTGTCAGTGTGTGTGTGCGTGGGTGTATGCGTTTCTGTGGGCGCCTGTGTGTGTGTGTGTGTGTGTAGGTGTGCAAATTGTTTTGTAGAAGTTATAAATTATATAAAAATTCAAAACAAAGCGCCATCAACAAATTGTTATTGTTGCATTGGCTGTTTTTAAGCAACTTTGGCGCCCAATTCGCTTTTCGAGTGCACTTTAAGCAATTTTGCAAATTTAT